CGGTGGCCGCGGCCCCTCGGTGGCCGAGGCCGGGCCGGCTGCTCACAGGCCTGACCCTGCCCAGCTCGGTCCCGGCGTGGCTGCCGCCGTCCCGACTGACCCATATAAGGTGGCGCAGGGTCGCGCCGGCGACGCGCGCGCCAGAGGGCACGACCCCTGCCGGCGCCACCCCCCGTGGCGGGCTTGGGGGCGCCCCGGCAGTACGGAGGCCACCGCCGGCGCAAAACTCATGCTAGCTCGGCTGCGCGTACGTGGGGAACGCCACCGATGTAGGGCAAAAAATAAGGAAGTGGTGGTATGAGTGCTTTTCATGATATAAAGAAGGCGTTGCTATTTAAACTGTCTCTTGCGACAGGAAGCTCCGCGCTCGGACAGTCAGCTAAGCTGATGTGGTCCCACGTCCGTACGGTCGCGTCATGCGAACACCCCATCACGCGTCCCCGGGTTCCCTCAATCAGGGGTGGGTCACGCCCCGACGGCGGGAGCGGCGTGTTCTGGCACTCAGGTGCGATAAACCCGCCGCCGTCGCGATTCGTAATTCGCCGAGCATGGGGCACATAGATTTCTTAATGACCTTTGTCAGGCGATCGAGCGTCCGGAGACCGGGTCGGCTGGCGCTGAGATCCGCCCATTCCTGAGATCACTGTGCTGAGCTCAGGGAATCGTGGCGCTTCTGCTGAAACATTACAGACATCTGAGTCATCACCCCATTAAATCCACGTCGGTGAGGTAGAAAACCAGTATTTCAGGACAGGTGTTAATGCAAAAAAGCGACAATCCTGGTCTGCTCGTAACTGTTCTTAAGCCCATCCCAGGCATGCTTTTTGAATTCCTTTAGCGCCTCTGTCAGACCATGGAACAAAAATGTCAAACATAATTGGCTGCTTAACTGTATACAGGCCGAGCTCTCTCAGAAGCTGGATACATTCGCGACGACATGGTGCATTCATGATGTCCATGAATAGGTGCGCTTTGACACATGTCGTATCAAGCAAGTTGCATTCCTAGCTGACTAGCCGCTTGGGTGTGAACCGCTACGTTGTTGTGGGCCGGAACTGGCGGGGCCCGCCCAAATCTCTGGCTTAGAACGGAAGCTGGCTTTGGCGTGCCGAAGTGAAATATTTTACACGCCCGGCTGCTGTACAGCCGGAAGATGGGATGCAATGAAAACGTTCTGATGCGATTGCCTCGTGAAACATACAGTGTAATACTTCTTAAATCGAATGCAAAGCCAGAGAATACAGCCATCGGTTAGCCAGCGTGCATTGTACAAGCCGCTGCCCAGAAGCAGATCGCGAGTTTGTCGGCCCGGGCGGACTCTAGCTGGCTGCCGACAGCAATCTGCCAGACCCAGCGTCGCTCCAAGTGGACTCCACGGCGGCCCGTCAGACCCAGCGTCGCTCCGAGTGGACATCACAGCAGCCCGCCAGACCTAGCGTCGCCCAAGTGGACTCCACAGCGGCCCGTCAGACTCAGCGTCGCTCCAAGTGGACTTCACAGCAGCCCGTCAGACCCAGCGTCGCCCAAGTGGACTCCACAGCGGCCCGCCAGACCCAGTGTCGCTCCGAGTGGACTTCACAGCAGCCCGTCAGACCCAGCGTCGCCCCAAGCGAACTCCACAGCGGCCCGCCAGACCTGGCGTCGCTCCGTTGACTCCACAGCAGCCCGTCAGACCCAGCGACGCTCCAAACGGACTCCACAGCAGCCTTTCAGACCCAGCGTCGCCCCAAGTGGACTCCACAGCAGCCCGCCAGTTTGTGGCATGGTGGTAAGGTGTAAAACCAGAGGTGAGAGTGTCCTGTGAAAAACGATGCACTTTACATGCATGTAATGCAAGCCGCTTCAAAGTTGCTGGTCTACAGGATGCAGCCGCTGTGAGGTCCGCCGCTGCCGGATGACTAGCCGCTTCAGTGTTCTGCGGAAAAGACGCTGAACTCTTAAGACAGCGGCGCTGGGTGCAAGTCTCACTGCGGCCGGGTTGTTTGGAACGACTGACATATAAAGAGGTCAGCTGGCAACTCGCCAGAGAGGATGAACCCAGCACGGTGCTGCCGTGTCGTCGAACCGCATAGCACGCCATCACCTAGGCAGTCCTGTCTGGCAAAAAGTCTGGAGGCAGAACCATTTACTTAACGGTACCGACCAAACTTGAGGGATCAGAGTGCACGCAACAATCTCTACTCAGCAAGCGCTCTGAAATCAGAGTCCTCTTGCAAACCAATGGAATGAACTTACAAAATAAATACTATAGAAGATCTTTCGATTTTTAGGACGCTGCAGCTCAGCGTTTCAAAGTTTGCTTTTCAATTCGACGGGTGTGGGTTCGAGACTTTCGGAAGTGTTTTGGAATTTCTGCGCCAAAATTGTAATATTTAGCTGCGATTGCCACTTTAAACAACAGGCAAGATTGTTATGTTAATGGTTTTTCCAAAATGTCCAACCAGAACACTTGTTTTTAGAACTCATACCACGTCGGTTTTCATAAGATGACATGTGGTGATAATATTCAGTTGAAATATTTTACACGCTAGTACATCTTAGAGGATATAAAATCAACTGCTCTTTATACGCTCCCACTGAGGGCTTATCTAGCCTTCCATTCATTAATGTTGTTTCACTATGTTACGGATTTGAACTTCTGAAGGTCATCCTTAAAACCCTCGCGAAGCGTTGGAGGCCAGCCAAGATGAAAACAGACAGATCGTCCGGACCCCTGCCACGAAAGCGGACGCAAAACTGAACCCGGTACATATTTCATCGGCGCCATAACCGGGCGCGCCACCGAGCGTCGCTGCCGGGAGGGCCGCAGGAGCGGTACTAAACGAGCACTGGCCGGCGGCGGCGGCAAAAGACCCGTGCCGGCGGGTCGGGCCCACTTGGAGCTGCGTGACTGGCCTGACCGGCCTGCCAGCTCTCAGCATGCGTGGCCGTCTGGCGGGCCGGGGCGCGCCCGGTGCGTGACCGGCTGCTCAGGCCGCCCGGTGCGCCGTCGCCGCCCTGCCCGGCGGCGGCGGCGGCATGCCACCGGCTGGGCGGCGACGACGCGACTGACGCAGTGACTGCCGCTCTACCTCCTCGGCTTCACATCCGCCCCCAGTTAGCGGGTCGTGAAATGACGCAGTGACTCTCGCACTGCCTCTTCTGCTTTTTCATATACGCTTGTCACACTGCCTCCTCGATTTCGCATCCGCCCTAGTTTACCCCAAACAGCACCCAAACTAGCAAATTGCATTGCAAATAAAGTGTATCTCGTTGATAACCCCGTTGGCGTCACGAAGGTCAGGTCAGCTCTGCGGATGTGACACTACTGGCGTCATGTACTACTACACGTTGTCAATCGCTAGTTGTCTTCCTCCTGCGGTGTGCACACGCCGTCTTCGGGAATTCGGTCGGACCTCAGCAACAGCAGACCTAGTTAAGCTCTGCAGAAGCGAGGTAGGATGCAGTGGGCGGCCCCGGAGGCCTGATGCAGTGGGCGACCCCGGAGGCCCGATGCAGTGGGCGGCCCCGGAGGCCTGATGCAGACATGATGATGGGTTCTGGCGCCTCGGTGTCGTTCTGGGAGTGCTGGGACAGAAATAACCTAAGCATGCTTGAATCAGAAATGTGCGTTGCTTTGCTGCATCTCGGTGGAAAACTAAAGTACTTAGCTACCATCTAAGCCGTTGTTCTGGTGGCGCCTGAGGTATCATTGGCGGTAGGCATGACGACCTGCGTGGTGACTGGCCATTCCTTGCCTCCAATAAGATGAGAGGCGTGGTTGAAAGAGTCTTGTTATTTTAGCAGAGAAACCAGTGACAATGTGTTGATGTCGTGAGTCGATAAATGACATGTTGCACCGGCCTCTTCTGTTACTGGCCACCCTATCTCATGCCGCGTGAGGCGGTATCGTGAGCGAACTTCTCGAGTCGAGGTGCGGGGATGACGTGCTCGTTATGTCTGGTCCTGCACAGAGTTTAGTGCCTGACATACGGCTGACCCGGAGCTATGGCTACTGAGCACCTTCTTGTCTTAACTGTTTGGCTAACTGTACGATAGCGAGGACGTACGTCGTACGTACGAGGACGTCATTTCTTCACGTGCATGGGTATCCGCACGACTACTCGTAAATAATCATAAATCACTGGCGGTTGGTTGACTGCATCATTACATTTCTCTTTTGAAATGTTATTCGATGCTGCTGAGGCGTGCATGAACTGGCATGCAAAGAATGAAAGAGTGCAGTCTCGTGAAAACATGCCGGAGACTTGACGGCGCACACGAGTGGCTGAGCAGCTGAGCGGCGAACACTACCGAGAACATTCCATGAGTATGAGAACTGAATCATGGGATGTGTGACTCACAGCTCCAGCAGTGCATCAGTCATTCCCACGTTTGTCTCATAGACTAAACGCAGGGTGAAGTGATCCAGATGGCTGTTGTCTGGTTGTGCGGGTCGGGCAGCTTGAGCTCGTGAACTGAACACGGAAGACGGCTGTTTTTTTTGTTTTTTTTTGCGAGCGGAGGGCTGCCGCGAGATAGCCTAGACTTTTCCCTTCTTTCACAGGCGCGTGAAGTCGATTTAGCGCTTATTCTGACTAAGCGTGTTTGCACTCGAGCTTTAGTTTCAAGTTCCTTCGCTATCCAAGTCATTCGATGATTGCCTGCTATGGCAACAAGGTAATCGGACATTTGCGCATCTGCGTGTGGAAAACTATGCCACATATCAACTGTGTGCGGACTGGGTCATCATCGTGCGATTGTAATCTCTGTCCGAGAGGGCGTGGCCCTGTTCCGTCATCCCCGAACGATAAGTAGTCTGGATGGTCACCAAGCTGCGCACAAACAGTAATTAGCTCATTAACCCCAGATAAGCAGTCCGATTTGTACGGTCGCAAGCTCCAGCCGCCGCTGCCAGCGCCCGTCCGGAAGACTTCAGTCCCACCCGGGGCGAGCACTGCACAGGTGTCTCCACACCGTCCCTGCTCCCACCCGAGGCGCTCCCGATCCCGGGCACTCACATGGAGATGGGCGTGTCGCTGACGTCGTAGTAGCGCTCTCGATCGGGCCACTGGGCGCACCGTTTTGGCGTACTCGTCGTGGCTGAGCGCCATGAGGCCGGGCGGCAGGGCCGTGCTCGGCTCCTCGGCGCCACGTTCGCCTGCTCCAGCATCGAGACCGACGCACAGTTGGGGTGCAGGTCGCACATGGTGTCCGGCTGGCGGTCGCTGCGTGCGCAGCTGGCGGCGCTGGCTTTCACTGCCTAGCTTGCCGCGGCCTGGACCGCCGGCGCCTGTCGGCCGGGTTCGGGTCACGCGGCCGCCGCGGAGTCTTCCTGTTGGACACTTCGGGCTGGCCGCTGGCGGACCCGGGCAACGCGTGCACCGCAGCAGACCTGTCGGCTGTCACTGCGGAGGCAGGCGCTGCCGGCCGCGGCCGGCCGCCGCGCCGAACACGCTGACATCTGGCGGACGAAATGTCGACCCAGACCGGCTCAGCGGGCTTCTGCGCGCACGCAGGGGCGCGTTGCTGGTGACAAAAGTTTGAACACTGAAAGCTTTATGTAGATACAATTCCCGCGGGCGGAGTTGGACTGCGAAATGAATGTGTCTCACCCCGTCACTCATCGAATTGCTCAGATCAAATAGCTGCTTTGTTCGTCCTTCAACAGGCGTCACGCATTTTACATAGTATCGTGCCAGCGTATCTGACGGCAGGAGACCTAACTTTGCTAATATGTCGTCAGGTAATAGCAGGTAATAGCTGGTAACACATACGTGCAGACTACAATACCGTGAAAATAATGTAAAGGCCAATTCTTATGATTCCGAGCGTCCTATAACAATGCTTTCTAAGAAATCGTGAGTGAGAAGAAACTAAAACGTATCTCATATGTGTATCGGCAAATCAATTTCCTTCAAAAGCATACGTTGAGATATAACAAAATAGTCTACGAAAGCATCAATCACACCAGGGACGTAGTAAGGAGGCAAGGGGACCATGGCACCCTGAGTCAAGCGGTTTACACTAGATACCGGACGATTCCGTAGGACTTGGTCTGAATTGGCAGCATTTCGAAGACAATTTAACATTTGATCCCTGAGGAAAATTATGGGTATGTGCCGGTTTTACACTACATGTGCTCTATGAAGCCATTTGTAAGTTGTTAATATTATACATTCCTGGTCGGAAAAAACGAACAAGGGTAAGGTGAATCCGAGATAGCCTGCAATTTGATTATCATCACTCGAGGAGAACGAGGAAGAACTCAACCGGGAGGCATCAAGGTCTTGAAGTAGCCGACCGGATCAGCGTCGACATAGCCTGCTTCTCATGCACATCATGTGAGCCATGTAATGCTGCATGGTATGCATGAGCCAGAATGAATATGGCCCAGACACATGAAGCAGGATGTGCTGCTACGCCGCCAGATCACACACTACAGACCCGGAGCCCACGGCTAGCTCACCCGCCAGTCCACCTGGAAGCGCGGAGCGTCGCGCTCCTGAGCCCACGGCTAGCTCACCCGCCAGTCCACCTGGAAGCGCGGAGCGTCGCGCTCCTGAGCCCACGGCTAGCTCACCCGCCAGTCCACCCGGAAGTGTCGCGTTCCTGAGCCCACGGCTAGCTCACCCGCCAGTCCACCCGGAAGCGTAGGGTGTCGCGCTCCTGAGTTTGCTCTGCAGCTGTCGCAGACACACACACACACACACCACACACACACCACACACACACACACCCACACACACCAAACACCACACACCACACACACACAACACACACCACACACACACACCCACACACCACACACACACACACACACACACACCACCACACACCCACACACACCACACACCACACACACACAACACACACCACACAACACACACACACACACACACACACAACACAACACACACACACACACACACCCACACACACACAACACACACCACACACACCACACACCCACCACACACACACACACCACACCACCACACACACAACACACACACCACACAACCACACACCACAACACACACACACACACACAACCACATACAAACGGGGCACTTGACGTCCATCAGACACCCATAGATTGCATGTACGCACACGTTGCATCCAAAGATACTATGGCAGCTGGTTCGCACATAGCGCATGTTGGTCTCCACGCCGCGCGCACGAGGCATCGCAGGCAGGCCCTGTGGCTGGCGGGTGATCCATCTTGCGAATGTGTGGCCATTAAAGCTGAAACATCACGTTTGTATTGTCCCTGGCACTGCAACAGCGATACAAGTTGTCTTCTCTTCCTTTCAGCCGTAATGTGGCAGCCTCCCTGGGAAATGAGCGCAGCACAATGCGGCGGTGATGCAGCATGAACACTCAATGCATGCTGTGATCATTGTGGATGGCAGCTATACAAGTCAACTGTTAGTCGAGAGCGAGTCTAATGTCGGGCAGTCTGCCACTCGGGCACTCTCGCCGTGTTGCAGGCAATGAAACTGAATTGTTTCGCCACACGCGAAGGCCGCGCGATGGACTGCTCCGGCGGCATGGATGACTGATACCGAACAGAGCGGCGTGCATACAAAACGCTGTGAGCAACGAAACATTAATAAGACTTAACTGCTCCAATCATTATGTCAGCTTGTAGCATAGATCGTGCAAAAACGTTTGCGCTGTTTGGACAGGGGCTTGCCTAGATGCATACGAGCGTGTTTAACGACTAAACGTCGACGAATGTTCGGTGGGCTGGCTCACGCTATACATCATGGCACAAGAGGAACGCTCGGAATGGCTTACGGTTACGGCATGGCGGCCGTTCGATCAGTCAACCAAGCTGAAAAGGAATACGCGTCGGGCATATCAGATGGCACGACGGGAAATACAGAACATGAATAATTGTCGTGAAAACCCAACGTACCTGCGTCGGCAGATATGATTGGTTGGCATGTCGTGCCCGCCAGCAGTACGGCTGAGGCGAGCCTATGGGCGAAAATCAAAAGTTGCGACTTTGCAAATTCTTCTAGTGAGTAGCTAGAATTCATTTTTTCCCAGTACACGAACTATTAGATATGGTCCATGCTGTTTGGCCCAAGATGTTGACGTTTAAATGCTACTATGACTTGGGATGGAAAATTCGAGATTGTGCCCAGATTGAGATTGCAATAAACTGTATTTAAAACCGTGAATGTTTATTTGAGTGCTATTGCATGCTCCTGGTGATTAGGGATATCTATGGTATTTGCAACTGGCATAAGAGAACGCTCTGCAGAATGTGAAAATGAGCACGGCTTTCCACACTGCAGCTGAGTATAATGGTGATGAAGATTAACTCTATTTGTTCGCAAATGCATCGAATGGCTTAAACATATTTTTCATAGGTGCATATAATATCTGGCGTTTGACAGCTGTCATTTCAAACAGGGATGCAAGTCGCCTCAGTGTTTAAAAGCAATGTTCCGCATTGGAAGATATGGAAACAGGCATCATATATGATGATGGAATAAGGTCACTTGTAACTATTGGTGCACTTTTAAGTGAAACCGACGGCTGTAAAACAAAACGATTTTTATATTCAGTAAATATGCTCCACAATACGTCGCTGTTTGGTCGCGTCACGGAACACTTGTATGACATTGAGATGCTAACCAAGTTGGCAGTGCAAAATTACCACCCAAGCATCCACTTGTAGTACTTTCAATCTTCCGAAGATTGCCTTGGCGGTGCTGAAGGGGTTTGCTGAACCCATATGTTATGGTGCTCCGCGTTTGGGCATTTTATCGTGGTGCTCTTTGCCTTTCTATTCGCATCTTGAAGGTGCTAAAATTGCTACAAATCTTATTTCCGTAATAACTAGCACCCATGTTCAAGTTCTTGTATTACGCAGCACGAAAACATGATACGTGATCGAAACCTGGCACGGTCTAGACAGCATTTTTTGAGAGCTAATGAATGTCTGCTGTAATTGTAGAAATCGTGCTTAAGAACGCCAGCTATGAACGACCTCGACAATATGTTCTTATTGGCCTTGAACGCCACATGGCCAGTGGAGTGGCAGGATTTGAATGACGTTTCATGGCGTCATGAGTGCGTGCATGAACTTAAAATAAGATGCACGAAAAAGTCTGCGAATTTCCCGGGCATGTAGCTCAGAGGCTCAGAGGCTTTTCTCTCAGACTCCTTTCGGCCACGCGTTCTCTCCAGTCCCCACCCTCTGTGATTGCTGAGATTAGAATGGCGAGAGTGGCGCGGGCTGAAACGTTTGCAAGCGGGCACTCTCGCGCTCCTCCAGAGCCAACTCCATGATGCTGCATATTGGAACATTAACTAGGATTTTTATACGAAAAGGCCCGGTAGCAAGACTTTTCGGTCGTTCCTGTCACTCTCACTTTCGGTCACTTTTGAAGCCTATCACTCATGCACCTTGAATTGCATTAGTGCAGGTGGTCTGGCAATGCTACGCAAGTAATTCTGCAAATGGCCAAACATTCTATCTTGAAGCATTGGTTTTGAGCCGCGTCAGTTAGAACCTAGGATCCTAGATCTTCGGTATAACGCTTAATTAACTCAGCCCGGTCGTGTAGAGGCCCTCGACCGCTATGTACATAAAAGTATGGTACATGCATTACCAGATGGCCGGTCCAACATGGTGGGTGCGAACGGTTTCAGCAAATTGCTGGCCAGGATTTGGGATTGATCAGCGTTCGGCCGCGCGGGTGTTTGTGGCGACCCACCACATCCCTTGTGTGGACTAAAGTGATGACTGATTCGTCATGTTTCCAGGGTACGAGCTTGTCATCATTCCTGAGCAACCGTCATGCAATCACCTCCCTAGCATTCGCCGCGGATTTGCTGTGTGATGCGATCTGAGTCGTATGGTACGACAGTGAGCCAGTCCACAGAACGTGAGAGTGGTACGACAGTTGTAGCCAGTCCACAGACGTGAAGTGGTGCGACAGTGTTAGCCAGTCCACAGACGTGTAAGTGGTCCGACAGTGTAGCCATGTCCACAGACGTGAAGTGGTACGACAGTGTAGCCAGTCCACAGACGTGAAGTGGTACGACAGTGTAGCCAGTCCACAGACGTGAAGTGGTACGACAGGTGTAGCCAGTCCACAGACGTGAAGTGGTGCGACAGTGTAGCCAGTCCACAGACGTGAAGTGGTGCGACAGTGTAGCCAGTCCACAGACGTGAAGTGGTACGAC